TGTGTGTGTGTGTGTGTGTGTGTGTGTGTGTGTGTGTGTGTTGTGAAGGAAGGGGGTGGGGGAGGGAAAAATAGCCGACGTGAATGACCGCCGGTCAGTTCTATAAACCACGAGCCGCCACTGGTGATTCCTATTTTTCAACCCTTATCTAAATCATTTAGGAGGTAGATGTTTCGACCCTCCTGCCATGGCCGTCAGTGAGACACCTAACCTGTCGAGGACTCAACTTCGTCAATTTAGGGTATATATTACCATAGAAAAATGTGTGAGATACTCAATAAAATAATCCTCCGCTCAAGAGAATCGAACCAACACTAATGGTATACAAGATGTGGTGTCTCACCATTAACGATGTTCTGCTCGCAGGCGGATGATCTTGATCTGTTCCTTTCTCTCAAGATGGTTGAGATTGTCATTTCGTTTTATTGTCGTCGAAAGTTGCTAAATTTGAATATAATACAAAACAACATGGCTACGGAAAATTTGTTATCCTTTGTCAGTTGTGTTTGCGTTTGCAAGACTTAGAATTACGATTTATGTAAACGCAAAAAACGGCTTGCGAGCGCCGTAAAACCTCTAACTAAAACTAAAAACTAAGGAGAAAAAACATACACCTCATACATAATTAAGACATATTCATACATACGAACTAGCTTGCGCTCTATTCTCCCCCCCCCCTCTCTCCCTATCCCTCTCCCTCTCCCTCTCTTTCTGTCTGTCTCTCTCACACACATACACCTCCCTTCCCCCTCAATCACTCACTCCCTCCATACCCCCCCCTCTCTCTCTCTCCCTCACTCTGTCAGTATGTCTGTCACTCTGTCTGTCTTTCTCTCTTCCTCTCTCCCTCACTTTCTCATACTCTTTCTCTTCCGCACATAAAAACTGTTATCAGAAAGAAAAGCTAAGAAATGCAGACAACAGAACAGAAGCGCAGCATAATCACCAAAGCAGCTCCACGTGTGATCTCAAAAGCAGACAGTGGGGGTGCCGAAAGTCAGGTAATGCAAAAACACACCAGCAAGAAAGTAACAATTTCTGTGGGGACGAAGATAAAACTTAAACAGGGTCGTGCGTGACAGTGCATAATGCTTGATGGGGCCACTTCAGATACAACTCTTTTGGACCTGATTTTTTTTTTCTAAGTTTGAGGCAAAGTCTCCTCTAATGACTATGCTGTTTTCAATTAAGACCTCGGAAAATTCTGTTCGTCATTCCCTATATCCCAGGATATATATATAAAAGCTTAGAAAAACAGAAAAAGACTAACTTACCGACTGGGAGATTTTGTGTTGTAATGGTAAAAAATGCGTGATGCAACTTACTGTCCAATATCTCCTCAAATATCGAACAAAAGCTCTCCAACCTTTGCCCAGGGATATGTACTGATTGGTCTCCACAGATCAATATTTTTGTAAACACCTGTTCGTTGTATTCTGGAAAATTCCTTAATTAAAGCAAATGAAAAAATCCCAGGGGGTTATT